AATAAATAAATAACTAAATATATAAATAATGATTTAAAATCTAGGCCACGATATTTAGGTCGGGATGAGTCGGTTTAGATTTGTGGACTTCTAAATCCATGGACACTCTATTTATGAAATTAAATTTTCTTAATTTATTTATGAAAATATGAAAATATTAATTTTAGTCTTGTCTTATCATGTAACAAACATGTTTGGTTATACAAAGGTACGAATATAAGTGCTTATCCTTTTAAGCAAAATATAGTATCCGAATTTTGTAAATAAAAAATGAAAATAGAAATACATCAACTAATCAAGTTTCTCTTAATAATTAATAAGATGTCAAGTGATACTTTTAATTTTTATTTTATCTCTACAATAAATGTTATTTATAAGAAACAAAGATTCACTAGTACAAAAGGGGTCTTTAACGTCGAATATTTTGAGGCTTTTACGTCGGAAAAGGCTTCAACGTTAATACGGGAGACGTAAATTTACGTCGCCTGTAAAAGACGACGTAAATTTACGTCGGATATTCCTTGTGCCCGACGTAAAAAAGGGGTTTTAAAGGGGAAAAAATAGGGAAGAGTTTACGTCGGACTATGCCTTGTCCGACGTAAATTTACGTCGGCCAGTGTTAGGTCCGATGTAAATTTACGTCGGACAAGGTATAGTCCGACGTAAATTCTTGCGTTTTTTTTATATTTTGGTTGTTTTTTGATATACCCAAAACCTGCATATATGTATAGTCGAGAATATAAAACAAACCAGGCATTCCAGAATATAAAACCTAAACTAGGCAGTCCAGAATAGAAATTTAAATTATATTTCAAAATTGAATGGCAAAGAAAATAATATATAAATCTTAAAAAGCATAAATTATGACAATGTAAATCCTATTATCCTAAAAAAGCTATAAAACATATGTTTGTCAATACTATGAAACTAGAAACATAGTATCTAACTAACTAAACTTAGAAATCTAACTAATATATACTTTGAAGAAAAAAAGTTGTCCATTGTTCTCTTATCTTGATGATCTCATCTTCGGGCAATGGAGATGGATCTTGAAAGACCTGAAACATTAATTTAAGTGTCATTAATATGCAATGTTAATTATCCTAAAGGTAAATATACTTAAATAAATTTTGATATGAATTACCTGCGCCCAAGAATCAGTAATACCCGCAGAAACTATGGCTCTCATCCAATACATGATGTAATAGCCACATTCAAACGAGTCTTGTTGCTTATTACACTAAAATGAGAAACAAATAACTATTATTTCCAAAGTCAATAAATTTAAATATTATTGACTGTATGAATTAATTTGCTAACCTTAGGGTATATGAAATGCAATGACTTTGATGATCTGGCTCTTCCACTTAATATATTAGCTCCAGACACGATTCTAATTAATTGAAATAAAAACAAATGTTAGCCAATATATATAATTACAGTTTTAAAACATAATGAAAAAATTTAGTTACCCTTGTAATTGGCATTTAATTTCGTGGCTTGGTTTTCGATGTAGTGAACAAAACCACACCACGGTGTATTCCTTAGGAATGATTACCATTAACTGCCAATGGGACCTACATTGTATGACAAACAAATTAGTTATAAAATTACCATGATTAAAAAACCAATTAAAAAACTAACCCGTCAATGTATGGAGCCATGTATATATCTCTTCTTGAGTCACTCATCCATGTTTGCATATATTGCTGGATCTGGACCTGAGTGTTTCCTGATTTTTGGATGGATTGAGGCTCAATAAATCCATATACTTGTGCTTGTGCTTGCTCCACACTCAATTTGTCCATGTACCTAACACAAATAATTATTATAAGTTAAATGTAATTATTGTAAATTTAGACTCATAAAATAAAATATGACTTACATGGCCCACAGCTGTATGATAGATATATTTAACATGGAGTTTCCCCCAACAATCTCTAATGCATCAGGCAGAGATATGTACAGTGGAACATCAGAGCTATCAACTCCAAAAAATCTAATGTCCCACTGCAATTGAATTGGTCTCTTCCTTAATCGTGGTAGTATGGTTAGAAGCGTAGATATGTGATCATCCTCAGCTTCTACGATATTAGCATGATCAACATGAGATTCTCTCATGACCTCCTTACCACGATTGATAAAATCCTAAAGAAATAAACAAAATTAGTTAAACAATAATAGAATTATAAGAATATAAAAGAGAAATAATAGAATTACCTTTGGTCGTGCTAAAGGCAGCATGACCAAACGTTTTGGCCAAGCTAAGAATGTGCTGGTTGCCTACCTCACTAGTTGAACCTCTGTATTGGGCAAAGGTACTGGAGCAGCAGCATCTTGAACTTGGTCAACCACAACCCGTGTCCAGTCTGGCTGTAGAGGGACACCATGGATGGTTAAGCCACCCTCAAATACTCGGCCAATAGCCACTAACTATGGGGGGTCATCCTCAACATATAACTCACATTAATTTGGTACATCAGTGTGACTCTGCTCTGCTGAGGGATCTAGAACAGCACAACTACCTTTAGTGCTGACTCGAACACCATCATGAGCAACTATAGTCTGTTGCTGAGAACGAGCCAAAACTTCAAACTTCTATTCAAACTCATACAAGAGTCAACAGTGCTCCTCGATGATCGTGCACCAAAGAAATCTCAGTGGCTCCAAGAACCACCAACACCACGTACACGGCCTGCGTGCTCTAGCCTTCCTATGGCCGTTGTGAGGATATCATCCCGACCATGGGAAACAAATGACCCCTCGGTGGTCTGCTCAACTAAACCCTCCTGCAACATATTAACAATAAGTATACCCTAAACTACACTTATGAATTAAATGAGTTGAAATGAAGAGTCTTAGTTTGTATATTTTTACTTACTATTTTATCAACAACGACCCTTGCAGACTCAGAAGTCATTTGCCCATCTGATTTTGTCTAGGCTGCTATCCACATCTCATGGCGGGGTGGTGACTTCACACGGTCAGCAGACTCAACCCCTGTTGCCTCTGCCCTAGCCTTCTTCATTTTCTTTTTTTTTTAATTCATATCCCCCTCTTGACAATAGATGGGGTGCATCATTCTTGCTCTGTCGTTCTTGGGCAACTATTCTTTTGGCCTGCAATAATACAAAAAAGAAAATGAGATTAATTAAAATAATGATTAAGTATTTGTGTCAATGTAAGAGTTATCAATAACTAACCTGTCAAGAAGGGTCCAATCGAGTGGCACGAAATTGCATCCACTCCTCATTAGTGATCTGGTACTTTAGATAAGGAGTCTCATTTTGTCGCTCTCCAAATACATACTCCCGTGTCAAGAAAGTCTTGAAGTCTCTCCACCTGGTGGCAAGGGCAGATAACATCTTCCTCCTCATGACCTCAGTGTTGGGAATGTCAAAATTTTGCTATGAAAATAACAACAAATAATAAATCATGTATTTAAGTTATATAATATTGAAAGGATGTGAAAGTATATACCTGAATATCCTGCCACATGAGGTTCTTGTCAGCCTCCTGAACGTCATCCCATGATGGAATGATAATAGAAACATGTCGTCGAGCTAGGACTCCCAAATAGCTCTTAAACTTGGCAGCATTTGGGCCTGACGCCTTGCCAGAACGAGGATCCACCTCAACCGGTGTCCTCTCCTTGGCAATGTGTCCAGCTGTCAACCCAGACAATCGGGTGACAGATCTACCTTCCCTCCTTCAACTACCAGACCCCGAATCCTCCATAATCCTGAAATATAAAGCTAATGCCATTAAAATTAAAATCAAATATGTGAAGTCTCTTTTACGAATGAAAAATTTGTTACATACATAACGTTCATAAAAGTTTATGACAATGCATGAAAATATGTGCCACCCATGACGTAGATTGCATTCATCCATAACAATATAGCAACAAAATAACTAATAAAAAAAATAATACAAAAACACAAACCTATTAGGTTGGAATGTTTTCCCATATTC